CCCCAAAACCCCAAAACCCCAAAACCCCAAAACCCCAAAACCCCAAAACCCCAACATTCAATATGTGTATTGAAACTTTATGATGCAGAATTGTCAAACCTAACATCCGCATATTTCACAGCAGCAATATGAAGTTTAGCTCCTCCTGGCCTATTAGCCCTGCCAATGATGGCTGACTTGTACTTGGACATGTGGGCGTGGGAGGTAGGTGACCGGCAGCGGGAGTAGAATTTGGAAGGGGAGAGAGCGAGATTTGTAGTGGAGGTAGTGGATTTTTGAGGGGTGGTCGTGGAGATGTTGGGCTGGAGAGGTTAGGGGGATAGGAGAAGGAGGTTAGAGGAGATAGGGAATGAATGGGGTATGTGAGGAGATTGGGGTTACATTTTTTATTGGGGAAGTGGGTTGTTGGTTGTCTTTTCGTTTGTAAGCTTCCCTGAGCTATGATTTTTATTTATATAGAGTTACATTTAGTTCTGGAATTGTTTTCTTTCTTATTCTAGTCATTGTCTTTTTGATATTTATTTTTCCTTTAGATTTTTTAAATCAAAGTTTGTGAATATATATTTTTACTGTCACTCCAAAATTAATCAAAATCATTATGAGTACAATTGTGCATAATACTAATCCAACTATATGATTTATTCCAGAAGATGTTAGCTCATCTTCTGAATTCGTAAATTTAAAATACATCAGAATAACCAAAGCAAGTAAGAACTCAAACACAATATCTTGAAAGTTTAAAATTACATCTTTGAAAGGTCTGACCAATATTTTCCAGATAATAACAATAAATCATGCAAAAAGGAAGATGCCAGCTTGCTGGATGCCATGGTTCCATCTAAATATCAACACAAGTATCAAGACTAGTCTTCTCAAAAGAAATATAAAGTGGTCGAGCATGTACACTTTGTGATTGTGCTTAAAGTCTTCAAAGAATACTTTGAATCTTCCACTGTCTTTGTCATAGTTCTTGGGCATCCAGAAATACACAAATGGAATACTGATAAGTACCGAACTGAATATGCAAGCCCAGATAAATGAAACTATGTTAGAATAGTAATCAATGTAGTTGTCCCATTTCATATTATAAATGCTGTACAGACTTGCAAAACAGATATCTAGAAATAATTCAAAAGCAATTCTATAAACTGAGTTGAAGAAAAAGTCTTCTTGCATAACACTGATTCGCTTGCTGATGAAAGTCATTAGCTTGGTGCAAACTTTTGCATCCTTTTTAAGCTTGGTACCACTTGGCCACCATCTTCCTAATATTCAAGCAAGAGTCATGATAAATATATTGTATAGAACCAATAAAATCAATGCAAAGAACATATCAGCTCAGTTTAGAAGCACATTGGTCGACTCTACATTCTGGTTTTCAAACCTGTAATCCCAAGAAGCTCTGTCTTCAACTTGAGAGCTGTCGAAGTGGAGCAAGTACAGCTTCGAGAACATTTTGTTTTCAAGGTTGGCTACTCCAAGGAAACTGAACAGAGTGACCATGATTTTAGGAAAGTACAAAGTCATCATTGCAGAGTAATGGATGATTTGGAGAGTGTTAATGAGAATCCACATTGATGATAAACTCTGACCCAATACCACTGCTATTACTAGTTGTAATGACATTCCTATATCGAGAGGATAAATAGTTTTACCTGCATTTAATGATGACGATACTGAATTCCCAATTTGTTGTACTCCAGCTGTAGCTTCTATTTTTGATATTTTTCAGATGGAGGGCTGTCCAGTACATTGATAATATTGTTCTGTTGAACACACTTCATCACAACCATCATCCTGAAGAGTATTTCCATCATCACAAGTCTCTAACACTTCTGTGATACCATCTCCTCAAAATGAGCACTGACTTGGATAAGATGATCAGACCCATCCTTCTTCAATTTTACAGTTGCTGTCTCACCCATCATTGTCAACTGTGTTTCCATCATCGCATTCTTCTGGTGAGTTATGCTCACTATTGCTTCAAATTAAGTTGCATACGCTTGGGTTGGATATTGGACATTCATAGAGTGTTTCAATTTGACAAGTATTATCTCAGCCATCTCCGTTGATAAGGTTGCCATCATCTCATGTTTCACTACCATCAATTCTGGAGTTGGATCAGATGAGATTGCAAGAACTTGGATTTGAAGTAGGTCATTCCCAACCACCTTCAATATTGCATGTGCTATCTCAGCCATCTCCGTTGATGAGATTACCATCATCACATTGCTCTCCTGAGTCAATTCTCCCATTGCTTCAGATCAAGTTACAAGAGCTTGGTGCTCCTGAACATTCCCATCCAGATTCTATTTGACAAGTTGAATCTCAGCCATCACCTCCTGATGAGCCTCCATCATCACACTGCTCACCCGAATCTATACGAGAGTTACTTCAGATAAGGTTTCAAGCACTAGGAGCTCCAGAGCACTCCCACCCTGATTCTATTTGTCATGTTGCATCTCATCCGTCACTTGAAGTCACTCCTCCATCATCTCATGTTTCTCCTGAATCAATAACTGAGTTACTTCAGATCAGGTTTCATGAGCTAGGCGTTCCATTTCATTCATAACCTGACTCTATTTGACAAGTTGCACTACAGCCATCTCCTGGAGTAACACCATTGTCATCACATTGCTCTCCAGTGTCAATTACTCCATTACTTCAGATAAGATTGCAAACACTAGGAGTTCCTGATCATTCGTATCCTGACTCGATTTGTCATGAAGCATCTCAACCATCTCCTGCTGTGACTCCTCCATCGTCACACTGTTCCCCAGAATCAATTGCTGAGTTGCTTCAAATTAAGTTTCAAGAACTTGGAGTTCCATTTCACTCATATCCAGATTCAATTTGGCAGGCTGAATTTCATCCATCCCCTGAAGTAGCATCACCATCATCACATTGTTCTCCTGAATCAATAACTGAGTTACTTCAGATCAGGTTTCATGAGCTAGGTGTTCCATTTCATTCATAACCTGACTCGATTTGTCAGGAAGCATCTCAACCATCTCCTGCAGCTACTCCTCCATCGTCACATTGCTCGCCTGAATCAATGGCTGAGTTGCTTCAAATTAAATTTCAAGAACTTGGAGTTCCATTTCACTCATATCCAGATTCAATTTGGCAGGTTGAGTTTCATCCATCTCCTGAAGTAGCATCGCCATCATCACATTGTTCTCCTGAATCAATAACTGAATTACTTCAGATTAAGTTTCATGAGCTAGGTGTTCCTGAACATTCGTAACCTGGCTCTATTTGGCATGACGAACTACATCCATCTCCATCTGTTCCATTATTATCATCACACTGTTCCCCAGAATCTATGGTTCCATTTGATCATGGATTAGCGACTCAAGTTGAGGGCCATCCACTGCATGTATATCCTGATTCTATATTTCAATTCTGGTCGCATCCATCTCCATCTGACCCATTGCTATCATCACATTCCTCACCAGAGTCATTACTCCCGTTTCCTCATCTAAAATCTTAGCAGTCAGATACCTTCTTGTTCATACCTACATAGATAACTAAAAACTCTTACAGATATTTGTTGATAAGGAGTTGTTCAGTCCCAGCCAGACTCAACTTGACAATTATTTCATCCATCTCCTGAGTTTCCATTGCCATCATCTCATTTTTCTCCACACAAAGGATTATTCTCACCATTTGGACAAAGTCCAGAACAACCGAAGTCATTCCTGTGGGATGATGAAAGAAGTTTAAAAGATGAAGCCTCTGAAGAGAAGTAATTTGTGAGGGAAGTTGAAGGACTAGTGGAGAGACAGCAGAATTGGACCAGCAGGAAAGCTAAATGTGAAGATTATTATAAAACAGACAGATTTCTAGACTTACTAACAATAATCGACTTTCAAGAAAACCTCATTTATATATATTAATCTTTATTAAATATATAATCCCTATGCAGGGGTTTTGGGGTTTTGGGGTTTTGGGG